CGAGGCTACGGCCAGCACCTGAGTCAGCAATCCACTCCAACTCATACGACCTCCCCTCTGAGGTGCGCGCGCGAGTGCCACCTGACATCAACAGCAGGGCTTGTGCAGCTGAAGCATGTGAGTGAATGGCATGGTGCGCAGATGGGGCAAGTGTGGGCACGTCAACGTCACCAGCGCTGGCTACGTAACGCTGGCGGCAGGCCAGGAGCTCAACAGGGCTAAGCATCTCGCAATCTTGGCCCGCCCTTTGGTCCACAACTTGGCTCAACTTGANNGAGAACTTGCAGAGGCTGCGAAGCTGCCAGTGCTGCCGCCGGCTGTTGCGAGGAGGCGCTTGTCTCTGCAAAGGCTGGCCCCGAGCCAAACTTCTTCCGCACCGCAGATGCCATGGCACCACCCCGTATCAAAACTAATCCTTGCACCAAAACCCTTTCATGTTGTGACACGCGCAATTGTTACGACCCGAGATGTCGCGATGGAAGAAGAGCTGCTGGGCCGGCGGGCGACAGCATCACCAACAAGAACCCCACACAAGACGTGGGGAAAAATCATGAAAAACATCAAAATAGTTTTTAAAAATCATGACAATGATGCCAAATATAAAAATGTGAAGAAAGATGAAAAACGAAAAAGTGAAAGAACTCGAAATTGGTGGAAAATCATGAAAATGATGAATAATCATGAAAATGGTGAGAAACGATGAAACATCATGAAAGCTGCGAAACATAATCAAAAAGCATGAAAATAATCAAAGAATGATGGAGAATAATGAAAAACGATGAGAGATGAAAGTCATTGCAAATCATGGAAACTGCTGAAAGATGATGGAAAATGATGCAGCATGATGTATATGATGAAGAGGTGTGGAAAATATCAAGAACATCAAGAAGTAAAGAGCAACGATGAAGATCATGGAAAATCATGAAATGGTCTAAAATGACAAACAATGGTCAAGCATGGATGGCCTTGAAAAAATGCGGCCGGGGTTGATCTGTGTAGCCATCCCTCATCGTGATGACACGACGCTTCGTTGACACGGCAAGCATGGATGGCGTCGAAAAAAGGGGTGGGGATGGGGGGCAGCCCCTCCCATGTGCAAACAACATGATCTGTATGAGTATTTCTCATTGCAAACATGGTGATGACATGATGCTTCTTTGAAATTTGTTAAAGCAAGCATGTCAGTCAGTCAGTCAGTCAGTCGACGCGCCGCCCAGCGTATGACTGACTGTCTAAAGCAAGCATGGATGGCCTCGAAAAAGGCGCAGGGGTTGGGGGGCGCGGCCTCCACCCACCTTGTAAACAACAAGGATAAAGGAGATAAAAAATAATGGAAACTACTGAAAGACTATGAGAGCCCATAATTAATAAAAACTATGAAATTGATGAACAGTCGTGCAAGTTATTAATAATGATGCAAGACATGGCAACTGCTGAAAGAGGACGGTAAATATGAAAATCATGAAATTGATGAAGAATTATGACGCATGATGGAAAATAGCAAATAGTAAGCAGAAAGAAAGAAGCAAGAAGCAAAAAGCAACAATCGCAGATAGCGGCGATCGGGAAGCTGAGCGCAGTCAACGAGAAAAAGGAAGCAAAAAACAGAGAGCATTGAGCGCTCAGGAGATCGCAGGCAGCAAGAAACAGGAAGCAGAAAGCTGACAGCAAAAAGTTTTCAGAAAGAAAGATACAGAGAAAGCAAAAAGCAGCAAGCAAGAAACAAGAAGCAAAAGGCAGAAAGCAACAAGCAGAAAACACAAGCAAAAGCCAGAAAGCCAGAAGCGAAAAGCGGAAAGCAAAAAGCAGGAAGCAAGAAGCAACAAGCAGAAACGCAGAAAGAAACCAAATCCAGAAGAAAAAAAAAGCATCCGTTTGCCAGGCACAAACCCTGGGGTGACTGAACTGGGTGAAAGTTGCTGTCCTACCCAACCTCCTTCCAGGTGTCCGCAGCAATAAACTCCAGGAAACAAACCACGCGAACTGCAGTGTAGAAATGAAGCGGAACCTTATCTGCAGAATGCACACTGCACTCTCCCGTGGGTTCTCAGGCCTGATTTCAGCTAAGGAGCGAAGGCCACGTTAATGAAGCTTGCGCAGGCTAGCAATCCAGCATCCTGGCAATCCGGAGTAGGAACCGTTTTGTACGTTTGTGTCAAGATAAAATTGCTGAAGGTGCCCGTCCGTGCCTCCTGCAAATCGCCGGAGATGCCCCAAGCAGCCAATCGACTCTGCAAGTCTGAATACCGCATAGAGGCCGACTTAGCAGGCACGGGTCATAGTGTCAGAACCCCAGACTGAGTATGACCGCACTTGCTGAGTTTGATTGACGTCACTGACTAGAACCATGCATCGTGTCTGCATCCAAATGACAGAATCAATACTTCACGCTTGACCTGTACTAGATTACTAGTAGCACACAGCTTGCAGTTCCAGCGCGTTTGAGTGTTCCTTCCTCCGTGTGTTCCTCCGTTTATTTCACGGAGTCTCACCCCTTTTAGGATCATGCCACGGGACCGGGAGTCAATTAGGAACCTCACGTTTTTACAACAGTTGATGGGGTCTCAAGCATTTTTGATCTTGCGATTACTCAGGGCTGGAAGAATCTTCAGCGTAGGTAAACTTACGGTGGCCTCCGGCTGCAGAAGCAAGATAAGCAAGGGTTCTGTCAGTGAAGCAACTTCGACCCAAAACTATTCTATCTTGCTTGTCGCAAGTTGTCACATGCAGGTATGCAATCGCAATCACGGGTGAAAGCGGTGTCATGGAGGTATCTGAATGTTCAGGGTACAGATCGCTTGATGCTGCTCCCTCCTTGCCGATCCCAAAGTTGCTGTCTAGTCTCTGTGGCTACCGCAACGGTGGTAAGACTTGTGAACTTTGCGCTCAGGAAATATGCCAATCCACACTTGTCGATGGGGCCTTCAGCCAGTCGCAATAGCCGCCCACCACCAGCAAAAAACTTGCGAAGCATGGCTCGACCACCAGCTCCCAGCCAGGGCCATCTGAAGATGGCAGCACATGCAGACATCATAGATTTCCGCGCGTCAGGATCAGCGGTCACAGCCTCATCGGAACGAAATGTTCTATCAGCTAATTTCCTTCAACATCCTGCAAATCAAAGTCTGCATGAACTTATTTCTGGCAGGGTGCGGTCAACAATGGGGACACCTGTCAGCTGGGCATCTCGGCATGCACTACATATCACAATGCAACAGCACTTTGCAAGCACCGCCACAGGCCTTCAGCAAAGACAGGCTGGGCATCTGCCTAGATGCTCCAGCTGCCAAGGCAAAGTTTAATGGTTGGCGGACTTTGAAGGTTGAACGCATCGTAAGCCAACCGACCTGCAGACTCTCAGCTGAAATCGGAAAATTGTCGGGAGCTGCTGAAGCGGATTGCTCTCTCTCAAGCCTCTGTTTTGAGGCTGATGTGGCCATTACACTGAAGACTTACGACTTGAAGGGCAAAGAGTGGTTGGTGATTGTTGAAGGTCTATGTCAAGCAATGTATGAGCAGCTGCCGAGACATGCACCACAAGATTCCGCGGAGAAGGAGTCAACCAATAATGCTTTCAAGCACGTGCTGCCGTACCGAATTTGTTGCCCTGGACATTGAAGCTTCCGTTTTGCAACAGCAACATACCTTGCAAACAAAACTTTCTTAGATCTTCAGCGAAAAACTGCATGCAATCAGCAAAGCTTACACTTTAGCAAAGAACAAGTGTTAAGTATAGCTACTCATGTTCATCTTTATTGATGCATCCCTTACTCTGTTTAAGGGGCATCCAATGCGAATGGCCTGTGTCTACGATTTAAGCAAAGCTCCAGAGGCAGCTTTGCCTTTTCCCAATAAATTCAATTGTGGCACAATGATGGGTTCAGCATACCATATGCAGCCCAGGTGCGGCAAAATCGGGTGCTGCTAGAAGCTGGCGAATTTCTGTGTTCGAGGATAACAACGTAAATGCTAACAACCATGTCGACGTGCTTGTGGCATTGAAGAATACAACCTAATGGGAAAAGCATGCTCATACAAAATCCATGTCCTGCTTGTATCAAACTGCCGTACTTGGCCAAGATACCATGGCAAGCGGTCTCCGAGCCAACACCTGTCCAAAACAGCAACACGAACCAAAGCACTCTTGAGTGGTCCCATCTTCTGAGTTCAGCCTCATTCCACAAGTTGCAGAAACCCGACCAGCGCGGCAGGTCTCGATCATGCTGTCTCGGTGGCTCGCTTGTCGACACAAACCTGACACGACAAGCTCTGCAGCTCTGCCATGATATTATCTGTTGCTTCAGCTTTGATCATCATCGTCGTGACATGGCCTGTATGGTTTGTGCACGCAGGCACCCATGTAGTAGTAGCTTCTCCACGCAGCATGTCGTCCCGTTTGAGTGGGCCACATGCTGGCAGCGAGGTGATGCAAGGATTCGAATGCGCCATTGCTTCAAAAACAAAACAAAGAACAAAGCTCAACGTGACAAATTAGACAAGGCTACGGTTGAAAACAGGGGCGTAGTGCAAAGCTTACCAAGATCATAAATCCACCCTCATTGCAAGATCTCTACGCAACTCCACAAAGTGAACAGCAGCTTCCACACTCATCTTCATGACTCTGTTAGTCTAACGAAGTGCGTGTACACTGAAGAACTTGACCAAAGTTCATGCTTGACACTAACAACAGCTTGAAGTGTAAGCATGCTGAACTTGCCAGAATGCTTGCCGATGCCAACTTAGGACTTGAACACGAACTTGCGGCACAAAAAACTCAACACAAATACCCGGGCAACTCTGCACCGCCTGCTGGCTTCCGCTAGGACATTTCAAAGCGCACTGGGCCTAGAGTGTAGTATCCGGTGTTTAGGACCAAAACGTTTTAGGCTGCATCTTATGCAGAATCCGCCCCAGAGCCGAAATACCGGCATCTAGAAATGAAATACATGGTACTGCCACAAACCCCTGAACAACGTCCTTTCATCTGCCCATTTGCCTTACGAAGACATCGCGTACCAAAGTAACTTGCAGAATTATTACGCTCTTTTGATAGGGCATTTGCACTCCTCACTCCTCAATGACATTTTTACTTCCTTCGCAGTGAAGGGTAAGACAGGTGAAGCAATTTGCATGTAAGGATTGAGGTTGTCAGCCGCTACACCGGTCCGAATGTCAGACAACATTATGCGGACAACTCTTTCCGGTTCGCGATAGTTTCTGCGACAAAGGTATGGCAAACAAATATTGGCCCGAGGTTGCCTGCGACTACCACCTACAACACGTGCTCGGCCCGGCCCACATGTACCCAGCAGCTAGATAAACACCTGCATTAGTGCATGTTACGTGCCAGCATGCAAGGCAACGAAACGAACCGCAATCCACTAAAAAACTCTCGTAAGTACTTTGTTCCGCATGTTGAAATAGCATGGAAAAATCAAAGTCCCATCATTTGGTCCCGGGCGAGCACTTCAAACAAAAACAAACCTTGGACGCACAAGAAGGTCTGGGCGCGAGAGAACTTCCCCGGGTATTGCTTTGCTCCTCACCGCGGTGTTCCACACATTTGGGCCAGCATGGGCCAGCAATGCAATGCATGATGTATTAGCAAGGAGCGACGCGGAAGCTCGATCCCCAGCATACCAGCCATTGCCAATGAAGACCCGAGTCTGCCGCCCTCTGCTGACTTCCGAACAACAAACCAGGAGTTGCTGGAAGGCTACGTACAGGATAAGCCACAATGATTAGTGCAAGTTGGCCACATGTAGGAAAGCAGCCTTGCGACTTGAATTATTTGCCAACCCTTTTTGCCGAGAATTCCAAGAATTGCGTAGACTGCCGATCACCCGAGAGAATATCAAAACTTTGCGTTAAGGAGTATTTCTAGTTTGCAGCGTTTGCAAGAGGATTGCTGGAGATTGACGTGTCACATGGGCCCCTGAAATCACACTGGCATTTGCAAGAGCTGTGCTGGTATGACATACAGTTGCAGCCCATCCTCCATCAAGCTTAGGGTTTCGAGAATGATTCCTGTGAAGACAGTCAACGCAAACATGTTTGAAATATTTTGAAATACATATCCTGTGGTTGATGGTGCTTGGGTTCTGCTTCTTCCTGCAACTAACTGGCATGGGTACGGGGTGTAGCAGGAACAATTTTGGCCGTAACGGGAACCACTTTTCCGGACTTATAACGGGAACCAGAACCAGGCCGCCAAACAGCCGAAAACGAAACCGGAACCGAAATCCCGAAGCCCGAATCTCGCAAAGTGGGGGACCGGAAATCGGCCCCTCTCCAGGACAACTTCTGTCCAACTTGCTTGTACCTGGTCCTGCTCATTTTCTGCTTGTACAAGGTTTCGGGTTTAGGGTTCTCGATCAAAGGGATTTATTCACTATAGGGATAACAAAGGTTGATATATGCTTTTTGGGGGCTGTAAGTAGCCTTACTACGATTCCTACTACTCCGAAGTATGATGGTAACTAGTACCTAAGCCCTAAAGCCCTAGCCCTAAACCCTAAACTCCAAGCCAGAGCTTTGGATCTTCACCCTCCAAAGGTCAGGTTTGAAGGTCCAAGGGTCAGGTTTTAGGGCTTCGGGGTCTGGATCAGGGGGACTTGTTCATTATAGGGATAACATTTAACAGTGGTTGCTGTATGCTTTTCAAAGGGTTACAAGTACACTTACTAAGTCCGCTTGACCCTCCAAGTAAGGCAGAATCGCGAACCCCAGCCCAAGTAGGGACTACAATATGTTGGTCCCCGTTTGATACAATTACAACTTCTAAACCCAAAAACTTGGATCCGAACACTGTTAACACCCTACACCTTAAACCCTAAACCCTGAAGTTCAGATGTCTGCCCTTGCTTCAGAATGAGAATTTGAGGTTGAGAATTTCCACATTTGTACTTGGGGCTGTGGCTTGGTTTAAGGTGGGTAGGAAGCCGGAAATGCCGGACAAAATGCATCTAGAAGGGGGGACCGAAAATCGGTCCCTCTTTGGCAGAGTCCGACGAAGAAAATTGTAGCCCGTCTGAACACATGTCTGGGTTTTCCAAAGCCCCAGCTGCTCCCGTTACGCTTGGCCCCGTGGCCCTGTTACGGAAACTGGCCGGTTCCTGAACTGGGGCCGTGCGTTCGAGCGATCTCTGCCCTCAAGAGAGTTTCTGACCTGGCACGGTTTCATCAGTTTACATCTCTACGGCCAAGCTCACTTGCTGTTGATGGAAAGTGATAGAAGAGGTGCAACACCCACGGCATGCTTCAAAAGCTCAACAGAAACATCCAGCGTTTGATTTGCCCTGACACGTGTGGAGAGGCAACCTTTCCAATGAGCAACAGAGTCCTCGTTCCGCTTCACGGAGTTGCCGTTTGAGCCATGGAACTCCAACACTTGCACAAGCTTGCTTCGCGGTTTGTTCAATCACTTATACAGTGTGCTGGGAAGCAAGGAATTGTCCTGTCCCAGAGCTTCGCATAAATCAGTATGGGAGCGAGCCCACAAGCCAACACTTCCGTCGTAGCGAAAATCTTTGCTCAGCAATGCCGACCCCCCAAAAACCATTCCACCACGTAACCTTCGGCCTTGCTTTCTAAGAGTTGCTTGCTCCGAGCTTGTGAATCAGGCCCGCCGCAACCACACTGGCTAGCCCCGACATGGTCATACAATGGAATACTAAACACATCTAAACAACCTAAAATTGGCGACAAACCCTCGTTCAACAGCAATATCCTCTTCCTGAAGCTGTACATGCAAAGACATTCTTCTGGTTCTCTGCCGTAAGGGGTTACACAGTAGTTGTGCCGTGGGTTGGCGGCGCAAGGCTCACAAGAGTAGGCCTGTCCTTGCTAATGCAGCAGTTTATGTCCCTGCTGCCGAAAGAAGGTTTAATCATTGACCAATAAGGCCGAAGCAAACAACAAATAATCTTGGCGAGATTGTTTGTTGGCCAGATCTTCAGGTGTGGGCTCCCGGCACGATCACCAGGCCATGTTTTCTCATTTTCCACTTCTCTGGCTGTCCAGCTTCAGGGTTTGTCATGGAGACGTGTACAGCATGTCTTTTGTAGCGTTCTGATGCCTGTCAACCTTCAAGCCCCCAGGAGCAGGTGTGGAATGGGAAGGCAAAAGATAGCAAACACTCCACATTCATGAGCCCCAAACCCTCAACCATAACATCCAAACCCTTTACAATTGAGACGAGATGTACGTAGAACTCCTTTGAGACTAGTGAATGCGGGACTGTGGCTTTGCCTGCTTGATGAAATGTGCAAAGATGCATCAACAGACAGGCACAACATGGTGCAACACAAAAGAAACCACACGGCCTCCACAACAAGCAACGGACTCAAACGGATTTTCTGTCGATTGCCGCTCCCTCTCAGAAGGGTAGAAGCGACCGAAGCAAGCCTTGCAAACCTGCCATCAAATCCATCGGTACACGTCTGGAGATTGGCTCACCAACCTGGACCATCTGCTCCGCGTCCGCGTGGTCAGATGCCTTGCGCAGAGAGGAATAGCAGGGCTCAAGAAAGCAACTCGCCCGGGCCTCCAAGGTTTGAAAGAAGCCTCTTGGAAGTTCTGCTGAAAAGCCGCTTCTGCCTGTCCAGGCTCTCAAACCGACTTGAGCAACATAGAGCGGCCAGGCGTGACCACCATCTACTGTCTGAGGCTTTAGCTGGCGAAACTGGAGCAAGCAGCTTTCACCAGAAACATCCACTTTCCTTTCAAATCCTGCCGGTTGGTCAGTGAGAGCTGACGGCTGGGAACTCTTCCTCCGAGGTCGAGTCTGTTTGGAGGAAGTCAATGTCCCAAGCATCCCGACCTGAAATGCGGGCACTAATCCTATCACAATATTTATTGAAGGCAAATATCTCATATACTGCATCTGGATCATCATGGCGTATTGATCTAAATATGAGCAGCTTGCCAGTTTGACCATCTGACGGCACCTTGTTTACATGTGTTACCTGCATCCCCTGTCGGCTGCTAGCTTCCCCCACTGGTCCCTGCTTGCAGGCCGCGAGTCATCAGATAGGCTAGCTAGCCGATAGAACATTAAAATATCAACTTGAAAAGAGTCATGAACTAGGAAGAAGATTAAATCGCTTCGACTAGCTACAGCCTGAAAACAGCTACCGAAAGTGCCAACATTTAGCGCTGGGAGGTGAAGGTCCGTAGCAGACACACAACTCAGGTTGATAGCATGCACTTCCCAAGAATGGTTTTAGCTTTTAGGCTAAAATGTTGCGAAATTGGCGGTGCGTGTTGCGAGTGTAGGGCAAACTTGCGGCTCCCCAGTTAGCGAACACATTTGAACCCTCTCAACCTTAAGATTAGCATATCTTCTTTTGCAGCTAGATGCTACATGCTGCTCAGTGAAGCACACCAAAGGCTGACATAGGAAACTGCAGAAGTTGCAGGGGCCACGTCTTGAATCCTCCTACAGACAGTGACAATGGGAGACCCACCCTCAAGAATGGATGCGCGCTCGGAGTTCTCCAAAGCCTGCTGGCACTGTGCAACCGACAACAGCAAGCGTGAAAAAAGGCAATGGTCCATATCAACAAGCTGCCTTACGTTGAAAGCTCTGTTGTCAGTTTCAGCAACCAACGTGGGCAAGCTAGCTAGCGCAATTAAGCCTCCAAATGCCACGAAAGCCATGCAAGCGAGCAGGAAATCTCAGCCGTGGCACCTGCCAGCCAGACCACGCAAACCATAACGAACCTCTGTGCTAGAACACAGTAGGACACATGGGCATCATGGTCCTGAAGGTAACTACAGGCTGAACATATCCATCGTGAGCGTCTACACTGTGCCTTGAGGCTGACAAAAACACGGTTGCCGCCTGCGCGTGCGTACCCGTCTCTGGTAAGGCTCTCGGCAATGAGAAGCCTTGCAGCAAGCCAGGGTAGTGCACAGGCACAGCATCATGAAGCAAGGCCGCGGGCGCAGATTTGAGCTTTGCCATGGATGCCTTCACCATCACCGAGACTTGCCTCCCTACCAACACGATGACAGCTTGAATGCCAGCTTGCCTCTGGCCGTACATCTCCGTCGATTTGACAACCTGCCTGCAGATTGCACAGCTGGCTGCCCATGCGGAGTCAATTAGAGCAACGAACCTCAAACGCAAGAAGACCTTAGCTGAAGTGATGTGCTGGATGGCCAACAGCACTGCTTCAGCTTGCCAAGCTCTCTACAGTCATCAAGCAGGCGAAGTTGCGTCTTTGACCTCTGTAAGAACTACTTCTTGAAGCAAGAGGTTGACAGCTGGATCTCAGCTCAGGGCGGTAACCGAACACCCATATGCATGGCATCCTTGGCCACGAGCTCATGCTTGACCCTGGAACCCCTAGAGCCTCTTAATTGCTGCAAGCCTGAAAAAGCACCAACGCCTCGTCCAAGCCATCCTCACAGCTGCATCACTGACACTCTAGCATACTGTCAAGGACGGCCCCCCGTGCCTCAGGTAACATTAGCATTGCCTGCAGCGACAAGTTGTAGAGGGGAGCCTCACCAGACATTGAGGCATCTGCAACCCCAGCAGTTTACAAAAACGTCCCCACCTCTAACACGAATCGCCAGTCTTCCCGCAACTGCTGGGCAATGGCCTTGCAGAATCCTAATTTACAAAAAAAAATGAAATTGCAAAATTGGCGCATGACCCTGACCATCATGGGCTTGCCATTGTCCAAAAAGTGAGACATGACCTCAAAGGCTACATTTCTACAGAATTCCTGTTAGCTGCAGCTCAGCACTCTGGGGAGCAGGCTGCATACACAACTGATGCATCCTCAAAAAACAACAGGAAATGCTACCACGCATGACAAGCTTCTCATAAACCAGCAGTGCAGGCTGAGCTTGACACGGGCGGATGTTCCAACCAAGTGCCATACAAACGGATGAGCTCTGAAGCTTCTTCCCTGATTCTCGGGAAGCTCGCTATTCAACGAAAAGAAGGAAGCGTTCCAAAACTTGGCTTGTGGCTCGTCTGGCGCTTGCATGGATGCTGCCAAAAGCCGCGTTCTGGCAGGACACCAAAACAAAAAAAAAAATGATGTCCATGTCGCAGACCCCTTCCAACATCTCAGGCCCGCACGACAGCTCATGATGCTTCAGCTTCACGCCGAAGTTGTAAAACAAGTTGATAGTTTGCAAAGCCTCAACATACTTCAGGATCACATGCACGGAGACTGTATCAAGAGCATGCGGCATTAAAACTGGCTCAGACAAAATTGGATCCCAACAGTTTCCAAGTCCTTCTTGTTCTGGACTCCGCGGAGAATATCATACAAATTCCAAACACCCACCTCAAGATCACATGCACCAAACACAATGGACGGCAATAGCTGTAAAGCTGGCCTGCTTGTGATTCACCATCCCAGTGTAGCCAAATTGCTGCTTCAAGTCCTAGTCCGGATGATACTACACAGGTCCTCAATGAACACAGTAACAATGCCTCGTACAGAATTCGGGGAGCATTTTTGCCTGTCGGACGAGCACAGTTTGACTGGAACAACGACAGCACTCCCACATGCCAGAATGGCCAACCACACTTGCGAACGAGCTGAAAGTTCTGATTGTTCCTGACACCATGGAACTCACACCACGATATTACTGACAGACAGCAATCATACACATGTAGATTTTGCCTTGTCTGCTCCCGATGCGAAATGCCAGCATAAGAAACTAACATCCGAAGACACCAATGGAGAACTCGGACGTGACTTATAAGTTGCAACACACTACAACCTTTGGATCTTCCTCAAAGTCATGAAAGATGGCAACTGTTGAAAATAGCAAACGAAGCAATGCTGGATATGCTGTTGTGGCATGCTGGCAGGCGATTGCCGATTGACCAATTTTCGGCTTCGGATATGCAAGCTTCCATTGCCTCCAAACATGACACACACATTATTGCAAGTCACATCCTGTCTGAGATACACAAACAAGATTTTAGATGGCAAAAAAAAAACCGTAAATTTCAACGTTCATATTCATGTTTGTCAGGATTCCCGTGGATTGCGGTCAGAAAACGATCCATTCAAACATAGCAACCTTTAAAAAAATGAAACATGACATCTGAATCATCCGAAATATCAACAGGACGCACTTCCAAAATGATAGTATGAAGTGGACATACGCGAGTTCCTGTTTTATCAACGTCAGAAATTCGAAACGGACAGCTGACCCTCACTCAACAGGGAGCACGTAACAAGCCAAGCTGGGAAAACCGAAGCCGCATTCCAATGCCGAGGGGTAAGGCAGTGGATGCAGCCAAAACCAAAGCAAAACGTACCGCATGATTCAAGGAACATCCAAAACCAACATGCACCAAAAAATATGAAAAGATCAACACCATGTACGAAAAAAAAGCTGCAAAACGCAAAAGCAGTCAAAGCGTGCCGACCAATCCGTAAACCCGGCCGATGACTTATGTTCATGAACTTGTGCATGTGGCAAATCGGTGCATACAATCATGTTGGTCAGTAAAACTGTGGATTGTGGCCAGAACATGATCCAATCGAAAAAAAACCGTAATGGCTGTCGAGCACCTGCTTTGATTCCAGCACCAACAACTTAAACGAATGGGATATGCAACAAATCACACTGAGAGAACTTAAACATACTAAACCTCTTCGCATTGCTGCAAATCACCCGCTGCCAAACGAACATGCTTCATCGGATTGGAAGCATCAAATCCTGATTTTGTCGTGTTCCAGCTATTTCGCACATGCTCGACCAGGCCACGTTTTTGCGCTGCACATGCTTTCGTTGAAGAATCGGTGGGATTCGTTTGATTTTCCAGACAGCCGACAGCCTTGATATGCCGCACAGCTTGTTCGCTGAATACATGCCTGGTGATATCGTAAGGTTTGGCTTCGGATTTGTGATTTCATCATGCTGTCGTACATTGTGCCAGACCCGATTGTTCGCCATGGCTATTCCACGGCTATGTAGTCTCCGATTCGGTTGTGAACTTTTGTTCAGTTTCGAAAGGGAAATATAAGCAAACCGGCGGCATGCTTTTAAATTTTATCCCTGTAATTGCAACCGCTTGCACAATATATTCCAACTCTGTAATTATTCATGATAGAGGTCCAAACTGTCTAATGACACATGATATGCGTTTGTAATGGGAATACGAATCCATCAATGAACGATCATATCAATCATTCTGGCATTCCAATAGCCGCACAGCTTTGTCGCCCATGGGGATTGTCCACACAACATTGAAGGTAAAATGGCAGGGCTTCGCTGAATTCCAACAGTAAATTCCCAGGCCAGCTCAATCCAAGAAAAATGCATAACAAAAAAAAAAATCCATAGCACCACAGACTGAAGCAAGCCACACATGCAGACACTGCAAACACGTGTTCAAGGTTACTGTTTCTTACGCTTGCACGACCTTCCTGCAGAATGCTCTGCATTCTTTGTCTCGGGATGCTCGGAAATTTGATGCCTTGGGCGAGCTTCAACGGCTCGTGTGAAGTGGAACGGTGCGTCTTGCGGACTCGACACGGCGCTCAGCGGTCTAGGCCAACGCGCATGCTGCCACTGATCTGTTTGCCGCCTTTCCTGCGCAGTGGGTGGGCACCAACTTAATATGTTTTTCGCGAACGCTCTTTCGCGCTGTGGGGCACGTCTTGTCCGAACGAATTGAGCCACATGGTGAAATATATACCCAGATCTTCAAAAACACCTTAACCCTATTTAAGATTTGTTGCGATTCCTGATTTGACGTGTTAACACCTCATTGAGGGTGTTTGAAAAAACACCGTTAAAAAGGTGTTTTAGTCTGATATATACGCTGTGTTTTTGAGTCATGTTGTTTTTTACATGTCGGTTTGATTTGGTATATCTTTGTTTACACGTCAATTTGATTTTCATGTTGAGTTACCTTTTTATCCTGTTTTCCAAAATTTTGGACAAGATGGAATTTGACTCATACACGTTTTTCTGGAAGCTCATGATGGAAATCTCCTTATCACTGTTGTGCCCTGTGTGCATGTTGCATGCTTCTTTGAAGCGCATTGTGAACAGTCAGGGCATACATGTGTACTGAGCATGGTTGAAACACTGCAGCTGCTTTATGTTTCAACCGCTTGTGAAAAATCTTTTTCGATCAGCCTGGCTCGTGCTCGCAACACTGCCAGCCCGGGAGAACTGGGCCGCATTTCGCGGACTCATCTGGATCTTGATATGGTCCAGAAGTGGTTGGACGGTAGGCCTTTTGAGAAGGAGGCTCTTGTCAAAACCTTTTACAAACCCGTAGTAGAGTTGCTGGTTTGGACTCCTCGTGTGGTTAAACCCACTCTTGCTCCGGCCCTTGCAGACGTGTACGGCATGAACTCGGCGGAGGCTGCTGCGCTGGCGCAAGGGCTGGTAGATCTCGTCGCCTACTGCCGCAAGGTTAAGAAGTCTATGACCAGTGGAGTTCGAAGTCATATGTCGCATATCTAC